GAAGTTGTTTTCCACTGGGGAACGTAAATCTTCCGCAGCCAATCAAACTCACTGAGGAAGTATGTTCAAGACAAAACTTTCATCTTGTGTGCCTTTTGGGCAGGGAAATGAAGACCAGATAAAATAATTTCTCTCTTTCTCTGTACCAAAATGCTCTCTTTTGACTTTAAGTTTCACTTTATTTGTTGATATTGGTGAGTTTTGTAATTTTCCATAAATCACTTTTGTGCTTTGTTCACTTGAGAGTCAGATAGTTTCACAGCCAGGTAAAGGGACCTAAGGTAGACCAAAATAAATTTATAACCTTATTTCTAATAATTATGAAATACATTTTTAATACATTTATATTTTGCACAACAGGTTTGTGATTCTCTTCTTAAACGTGTCACCTTAGCACAAGGTGTAGTGGAGGAAATGATTTCTATGCAGGGATTTGAGATCTACTTAATAAAACCACCTAGGGAATTACAAAGGCCAGTATATGACAAATCAGGTCCTATATCTGCATTCTTGAAGGAAAAAAATTATACTTGTTAAAGTTTATAGGATTTTGCTCTGAGGAAAAACTTCAGGAGAAGACCTTTCTCCTTATGGCCTATGTCGGTTTTCTGCAGAGTCATCCGTGTACAGATACACACACACATACATTTATATGCAGACATATATATATACACACCTATAGCAGCAGGCAGTGGCAACTTTCATCCAACTAGGAACTTAGTGTAGGTATTTTTAAAGCTGAATGGAAGATAACAAGGACAATCCAAATACAGAACTCCTATCCTTAGGAAATAAGTAGCACAGGAACTTTTATTCTGGGGGGAAAATAATAAATCTGATAGATCCATTATAAATACAGCCATATATGTGGGTCTTCCTCACCTAACTTTGGTTACTGATAAACCAGGCATAACTTTGTATTCGAAACACCACTGGGCAGACCTATTTCTCTCATCAGGCTACACCAAGATCTCCCACACTCTCATGTATAGAAGTGATACATCATTCACAGTACTGGTATCAAAGTGAGAAATAGGATGTTGATTCTTGTGCAACAACAGTTTCCTACTAGTATGACTTTTTTTAATTACATGCTGATAGAACCAAACCCAGTTCTGAACTTGACTCACTCTGACTCAGTTGAGTTACCTGTTGCAATTTCCAAAAGAGCTTTAATACTCACTGACCTTATGGGAAATTCTCAGTTCCAGTTATGTAGGGTAAAATTTTCTTGTTGTTGTGCAAAAAGTCCTACTGACTTTTGTGGCCTGTGTGTGTGATTAAGCTAATGCTTGAAAAGGAAAATCCTTTTTTTTTTTTTTTTTTTTTTTTTTTTTCCTGTGACAGTATTTGAAGTGGTCTCTGAAGCATTATGATTAACAAAAGGGTAGGGATGAGCACCCAACTGCTCACCTATGGATTGTCAATATAGGCAAAGAGTGGATGTTCTACCCATATACTGCTTTTGTTCCCCATACTTTAAATTTGTCAATTTTCACAGCTTTCAGCTATGAATATGAAATAAATAGATCTTGAGCCTTTCATGAATAATGTAATTCAAATGTAATGTAATGCAATGTAAAACTTGCCTAGATAGTGCTTTGCGAAACATAAACATCCCTTCCACTCAAAAATGCCAACTGCAATATGCTGACACCCCTAAAACAATTGATCCAGTGAGAAAACTAACTTTTTGTGGCTCTGAACAAAACCAACACTTTTTGAACTTGATATGTGACTCTTGACTAAGCAGTTGTTTATTCATCCCCTTTATTATTAGAGATGAGTAGCAGCAGTTACCTCTCCTAGAGAAAGGAGCTGCTGTCCCTGCAAACCTGCACAATAGTTCTGGTGGGTGGTAGTAAGTCTGGCAACAGACACACTGTGATGCAGCAGCCAGGGGACAAAAGCAGCAATGTGATGTGAAGAGATAACCTGGTTCAAACTCACTTAACTCTCAACTGTTCAAGGAATTTTGGTGTGTTCTGTCTGTATCAGCAGGTATTTGTGCTAGATCATCTATTGCCTCTCACCCTCGTTTAAGAACTTGAATGTCATCCTTGTTGTCCACGTTGGTTACTTTGTCAAGCATGTGACCATCTATATGTAAAAAAAAATTGGGTCCACCCAGGTAACGTGGCAGGTCACAGATTTGGTATGGAAAACTGAGGCCTGAGAGGCAGGGTCAACCAGCCTGTGTTTAGAAAAAACTGATAAATACACTGTTAAGCTGGAGTACTGCCAATACAGCTGATGAAATGATGCTAAGCTTTTTCCATTGTTCAAATACTCCTTTTTTTCTTGAAAGAAAAACTTATTCCCACAGACTTTCTGTTACAGAGTGTCATCTGCCCTCCTCTCGCTGATCAGCTGCAGGAGAGAAAGCTGAAGGTGACAAACACTGTGTAGCTTCTTCTGCCATCTTGACAGGATGTGGCTGTAGGTTTAGACAAAAGACTCTTTTGTCTTTCCTCTGGGGTGATGGAAGTGTGCATATTTCTCTGCCTAAGACTGTAAAACTAAAGACCATGGTCCACACTAAGTTTGGTGCTGTCAGGCAAACTGGCCTGAGAGCCCTTTGAAAACTTGGCCTGGAAGAGGAAATAGAAAGGAAGAAAACAAAACAGGGAATCAGCAAACAATTGGTCTGAATGTCTCCTCAAATCAAATCACTTTTACCATTGGAAAATGGTAATAAAAAAATCCCTGTGAACTTCTGGAGAGTAGGTAGATGGGTGCTTGACAGAGCAATGAATTCCGTGCAAGGCTGCAAGCAGAGAAAAGGAATGGACATCTTTCCTAAAAGTTGATACCTGATAAAAACTCATAAACTCAGAGCATCTGAAGGCATTCAAAGGAGAAGTGCCATTTTTTAATATGGCATTGCTAGAAATTGGACAGAGTTGGTTGGTTTTTAAAAAAAATATGATTTCTTTTGGCAATGAGTTTTTTTTTTAACAAAAATCACCTTATTCTATAGACAGAACTAATTGCATCATGCCAGTGGACTACTAGGTAATCTCATCTCAAATAAAGATCAGATTATGGTGATGCAATCATGAGAAAGATCAACTCAAAGGCAGATGCAATCTGGGCTTGAAAAGAGTAGCACAGGTAAGCAAGGTGGCTGGGATCCTTTTGAGAAACAGGAGACATGCTGCCTTCCCCTGTCAGCCCCATTTCATTTGTCCAGAGCAGGCTGTAAAGTGGTTGATGTTGGGGGACATCATGTAGTAAAAGAACAGAAAGTCACTGCAATGCTGACCTGTTCAAAAAAAAAAAAAAATAGATTTGTCACTTTGAAAATGACCAAAAATACTAAGTATTAATAATGGATTTGATGGATTGGCAATCTGCTAGCAAGCGGCCATCTCTGTGTGCCTTCCTCACAAAATATGGTGCTCATCTGACCCAAATCAGGCAGAGGGACTGGCCCAAGACCTGTGACAGAGAAGGATGACAGCAGATGAGTGCTCCAAACACCAACGGTGAGAGACATTTGCTATCCTGCCTGCAACCCAGGGAAGCATCTGTGTAGTTAAAACAAGTGCTGTTCCATTAACCCCTGTGAAACCATTAGCAGGGTCCATCTGTTTACTCAGGCCTCTGCCAGGAGGGGAGAGCTGCTGTTTTACCTTTTTTAAATCATGAATGGCAACATGATTCAACAGGGAATTGGGAAACTTTTGGTTGTTGCACCACTATTAAAGCTGTGAGGAACTGCATTATAATCTTTCAGATAGGCAGAGAGGTTAACTGACAGCCGTTCTATTTCACAAACTAGAAAGCAAATAGAGAAATCAGCTAGAATGAGTTAACCTTATAATAAAGAACTAAAAACATACCTTCAAACACCATGTAACAAAAAAAAAAAAAAAAAAAACAAATAATACTTTTTAGGTGTATGTGCACACCTTTCTTTTTAACTACTGGTTCCCCAAACTAGAACTGGAACTAAAGCTCCTCCTGATTCCAACAGGGGTCTGCAGCAGTGTGTGCCAGAAGGCAGCTGTTTATGCCACGGTGGGAAAGCTGGGCACTGCACAGCTGGGTGCTGCACAGCCCTGCATGGAACTGACAACCCCTGTCCCAAAGAGCTTACATTTCAGCTGCATGACTGGGGATAACAGATGGGTCGAGAAGGGAGACGATGAAAACAGTGGGATACTGGACAGTCTCAAATCCCAGCTGCTTGCCCACTCTGTAATATTGCCAAGTTAAAATTTCACAGTCTTGTTGTCACAGCAGAGCTTACGCTGTTTCTTCCTCATTGAGGAAGAAGAGCAGTGGGACATTTGTGCATGCCACAAAAGGGCTTCAGGCTGCAATTTGCTGCTGAACCAGACAGTATTGTGACAAATAAAAAACTCCTGTTTTCTTCATGTTTCCTTGTGGCATGGAAAGGTGTTTGCAAGGCCGAATTATGTGCTCAGTGCTGGGGAATGGACAAAGCCGGTATACTGGGCACCTAATTCTGGAAGTCAGCCCTTTAACCTCTGAGAAGAGACTGACATTCAGAAAGGGCTTCCATGGGCTTCGGGAGATGGCCAGGACACAAGCGACACATTTCCCATGAGGAATGCGAGTCTGAGGTGTAGCTGATGGCTTAATGCAGCCCCCAAGAGAAGTCAGCAAAATAAAAGTAAACTCTTCTGGTGAAACAGCCTCCACACCCAAGGACTCTTTTAGGCGAGCGATTCAGAAACAAAAACCCCAAATGCCAGCACGGGGACAAGCGCGGTTCAAGGCACCCTGCAGTTGCTGCTGAAATTGCCCCAAGGCTGTGACTCACTCTGAGCCACCACCGAAGCAGGGCGCAGCGCCTGGCCGCCGCTCCACCCCACGGCCCGCCCGCCGCTCCCGGGGAAGGATGCCGGGCGACTCCCGAATCGCCCTCTCTCCGGACCTGTCGGAGCGGGAACCCCAGGAAGTTTTTTCTCGGCGCTTTCCCAAGCACGAGGCCCGGGCGGGACACGGCACCTGGGGGCGGAGCGGCAGCGGGGCGGGCCCGGCCGTGGCCGGCGGGAGGAGCCGGGCCGGGGAGGGGGCGGCCCGGAGCGGCGCTGCCGGGATGGGAGCGTGAGAGGGGCGAGTCCGCGGCCGGAGCAGCTGCGGTCTGAGCGGGGGCCGGTGCCGGCGGGCTCGGACCGCCATGGAGCCCGTGACCAAGTGGAGCCCGAAGCAAGTGGTGGACTGGACTAAGGGTAAGAGGGGGCCGGCCCTGCCGTCCGGGCGCTGGGGGAACTTTGGCGGCGCGCTGAGGGTGCCCCGCTGCCGCCGCGGCTCCTCTGCCCGGCGGGGTGGCTGCGTGGGCGGCGGGGGAGCGCGGCCTTGGCCAGCGCCGGCCCCGGCCGAGCCCCGGCACTCCCCGGCGTGCTGCTCGGGAGCTGGCGGCTGCCCGCGCCCTCCTGCCGGCGCTCCTCCGCGCCTGCTGGCGCCCGCTTCGCCTTGCGGGATTTTCGGTGTTGTTTTGGTTTTTTTCTTTTTCTGACGCTGGGAAAGAGAAAGTTTTGCAGAGAGACTGGCTAACTCCAGGTCCATTTATAGATGTATATGTATCTAGAGTGGGTCTCTACCCATAGTCTGCTCTGTCCCCTTCTCCCTGTGTTCGTCCTGGGCAGCCTGCTTGCATGGAGAGCGGGGTTACCGTGCCCCTTGAGGCAGGTAGCATCGTGGAATCAGAGTAGTTGAGGTAGGAAAAGTCCCGCGAAAGTTAACTTTCAGCTTCTCAAGCGAAAGCCGTTGACAGTTCGAAAAAACTTTAGGTTTGTAAGTTAAGCAAGAAGTTTTTAAACTAGCTCAACTAAGCAAGAGCTCTTTATCCTGTTCAGCGGTGATGGGACTGAAGCGCTGGGCTGCCGCCCGGAGAGGTGAATAGCGGCCCCTTCGTCCGCCAGTCTGTCCTCCCACCCCTCATCTCTCGGGTGTGTGCTTGTGTCTCTCCTTCTCCCGCCAGCAGAACCATCCTCCTCTGCTTCGAGGTTTGTTGGCAGCGCTGGCACAGCAGCGGCAGCCTCGGCGGGTTCGCGGTGTGCAGCCCGGCCCCGGGGGGCTCCGGGGCGGGATGGCCACGGGCGCCCACTCCTGCCCGGGCATTTCGGCAGCGCTGGGTGCTACCGGGGCTTCCTCCGAGGGCAGGTTCAACTTCCTGCTGTCATACTCCGCTTGGACCCTGCGAGTACTTTCCGAATGCCGACCGGGGTGTCGCAGTTCCCGCTCTACGGGGAATGAATCAAAAGGGAAGTGAAGCTATGAGTTAGGTGAGGGATTTATGACTTCTGGAGCGTACGTCTTTTTCTTTTTTTTTTTTTTTTTCTTGCGACATTAGGTTTTAGTGTGATCCTCTTTGGTTACATAAAGTATTTTCGCAGGCTTAGCTAGAGTTGAATTTGCGGAGAGGCTGGGAACGCTCTGAGGGGTGCGGGTTTGCTCGCTCCCAGCAGCCATTACCGCCGTGCCTGGCTCCGGAGCATCGCTCTGCGTGCCTGCGGTCAGCGCCTGGCAGCGCCGCGCTCCAAACTCGGGCAGGTCTGGAAAGCAGACTCATGTGTTCAGAGATGGATACTCCCAGCCCTCCTGAGCGGGAACGTGTGCCTGAAAGGGCCAATGCCAGTGAGGGACTGTCCAAGCAGCCTTTGTGAGGAGAGGATTCCACACAAACGTGCTGTGAAGTTATGCGTTAACATATAAATAACTTCCCCAGAAAGATCTCTCTTTTTTTTATGCTTGGTATTGGTTTAAACTGGAGTGCATTGTTCCAATGAAATAAGCCTTTTGCTTTGGCATGTGGGATATTTATATAAAGCTTTTCCCTCATTGTGTTTTTTCTCTTGGGTGCTGAAAGTTTGTTGCCTTGCCAAATTAAAAAGTAAACCTGCTAATCATTTTAAAAGCCTTTAGTATTCTTAAGCATGCTTGGCTTCCTTTCTTGCATAATTTATTTTACTTGCAGGTTCCTTGAACAGGTAACTCTTCAGCTGGACCCTCAATTAGTGTTATGCAGAATAATTTGAGGGCTGGCTGTAGTTGGGAGGTGGATCTTCTGACTAATGCAAACACGTGTACTTTGAAATGTAAAGGAATAAATTAAAGACTGCTGGTGACTTTTGTTTGTGCTGTTGTTTTTCAGTTTCTAGGTAAGCGTTCTACTTGTTTAGTACACAGAGTCATTTTATGTCACTCCTTGCATGACAAGACTGTAATAAAGAAATGACATGTGGAAAATTTTTCTTTATGGTTATACTTTCATCTCTGAACATGAAAATAGAGGCTTTAATAGCTAGCTAACAGCCTTGTTAGCACAATGTCTCATAGTTTATTTTCAAGCTGAAATAGTTATTTACTGTGTAGTTCACAACCACTGGGTTTCATGTTTGACCAAGACCAATTTAATTTTACCTTATGAATGTTATATTTAGTTCTCAAGGTTAGTTTTATGAGCAAGTGTTTGGAGAGGAGCTTAAGCTCTTTGTTTTCTTGCACGTGCCTTCTGGGAGAAGTGATGCCATGATCTTAAATGAACTGGTTGAACTCTGGGAAAAAAATTATTTGGCTGGTGATATCTGCTGCCAGTAGTTAGTGCTGTGGTGCTGTGGAGATGTATTTTAGGAGCATGACGTAAAAAACTGCTGGGAGATGCCAGCTCTCAGTGGGGAGATTGGTTTTGCAGATAATGATTCTTACTTATCATACAATGATAAAAATAAGTGGGCAAAATGTAGAGAATGGTGGAAATAAGTGGTTTGACTCAGTCCATATTAATGTTCAGTGTGAAACTGAGAATATTTATGCAGGATCATTTCCTCTTCTTCCCCCCATCTTCAATCAAACTTTGATAAATTAAATTTTTTTTTTATAACTCTCCCAAACCAAAGGAATCATGGGAACTTACCTTTTTCTGTGAAACAAACCCCTAAAAGCAAAATCCCAAAGTAGGCTATATGATCACTGCTGGATAGCTTATTTGCTCTTGGTCAACTTACTTTTTTTTTTCCTTTTAGTTGCTTTTAAGTAACTTTTTTAACAAGGTAACTCTTGTTCTGAAGAGTTTTGTTTTGCTCTGAGATTTTGAGAAGTTCAGTCCTTGGAAAATACTGTAAGATGCATTTATCTAGGATTTAAAATGGAACCTATCAAGAAGTGGTAAGCTAAACATAAATATTTTTAGATATTTGTAGTCAGGTTTGAAATAAAAAGGGCTCTGTTCATTGTTACCAACAACAGCTGATACAAAACACAGTTGCTTGTCTTCTCTTGCTAATTCAGACTAGAATGCTGCTATTTTTTGTGAACAAGGGTGTTTTTTCTGGCGCAGGGTGCTGTACTGGCAATAGCAGGCTATGCAGCTAATAAGAGCTGCTCTAGTTGCAGAGGAAGACTTGTGCTTTTATTGCCAACAATTTTCTGTGTACGTGAAGCATTTTACAAGCAAGGATGTGAGAACTTTTTAGCTACAGCATCAATGTTTGAAAACAATCTGATTTTTTGTGTAATCACCACCTCAATTTCTATCTGAAAGAAGCAATGGTGTAGTTAAAGGTTTCTCTTACAGCACATTGAATTTGGATAGTATTTAGGGGCCATAATTGGCCATGGAAAGGTATATATTTTCCTAGGATGTGTTGATTTACTTGTACCTGGGCTGTCATGGAGTTTATGCTCTGTGAATAATATTGTCTGCGCTGTTTCCTAACTCTGCTGAGGAGATGTGTTTGGGGTTTGTTTCTCTGGGTTGTTTTGAGTTGATCTTTGTTGTGGTACAGACTAACATCTGGCTTGTGTTGTAATTGACCTGTGATCTTGCTTTTGTGCAGTTGAAGATGCTTGGAGGCTCAAAGTGCTCACCTGTATATCATAGCACTCTCTCGTGTGTCTGAATTTCTTGAGAGTTCTTCAAGAGGTATTCCTAGAGTTATTCAGCTTCTTGCAGGCCAGGTGAGTGGCCATGGAAGTTGCAGCACATTTGCAGTACACTGTATAAAGTGACTTAATTTTACTGGCATAATGACAATTGATGGTATGGTGAAACTTTTTCTGGCCTCAGAAGCCCCTGGCTCCTGGAAATCCCTCAGCTAAGGTCATTCCTCAAAAGATGTGAAGAGGAGGAAAACAGCATTTGTCATAGAGCTCTGGTGTGAGAAATGTCACTGCTGTCTTAGAGACATTGCTGTGCCTCCTCCTTGTTTGCTGTAGCCTGATGTGTCTCTTCCCCCTTTCCCCAGGCTTCACATGCTTGTGTGAGTTGTGACTTCAAGCAAAATTTTACACTGTAAAGACAGTTTGATGTGCTTGTGGTTAGAAGCCTCTGTTGTTGTGGGGCTCCATCACAGTCTGGCTTCAGTCACTGGAGCTGTAGACTCAGCTGGCTGGGGATCACACATCTGCTTTGGGCTCATTATGGCGCTCCAGGTTCAGTTATTCCCTTTCTCAGTAGTCCATGGACATTACTTATTTCTGCATATGTCATGAAATACTCAGATTTCCATTCCTGGTAAAGCTGTTGGGCAGCTACATTTATAGGTATGTCTGGGAGAAGAGGGAGAAATATGCTAATTTATTAATAGTTAGCAATTAATCGTGAGGGCCTGGTGTTCTTTTTTTAGAGCTATCTTGCTTACCCAGGGAGATTTCAACAAGGTCAGTCATGTTAACTGTGTGTGCTGGGAACTGCAAACCAGAGCTGGATTTTAGTACAATTTATAGGTGATGCCTAGCACTGGAGTTATTTTTTAGCTTTTCTGTTTAGGCACTGTCAAGTGGATGCCGTTGTGTTCAAATTATTTGGGAAAATCTAAGAAATCCCTGGTTATTTTGTGCGACAGGAGTATTTGGCTTTCGGTAGGGAATAGCAGAGAGAGCTGCCAGCAGAGAGAGCTGTCCATGCCTGGGATGCAGAACAATCTCTTTCTTCTTTTCTAACCTTTTCTTGGTTACCTAAAAAATACTAAAAAAGTGGTATTGAATAACCACTCTTTGCACATCCAAGCTTGCCCATAATGTTTTACTAGCAAAAGGTGGAATATACTAAATATGTCTATTTATATTCATTTGTGGGCTGAAGCAAAGTAAAAACTAGCACAACAAGTTTGTACTACTGCAGTCTTAAAGTTCTTCATGCGTTGTTGCTGAGTATGTATGAAAACATAAATCAAAGTTGGCCTCTGTGTCCTTGTGTTTAGATCACGTTTTCATGGGTTTTTCTGTG